CCCGGAACTGCTTCCAGTGTACAACAGTGAGTGCAAGCTACATTAAAGTCATTATTACGTTTTGAATATGGATATTTTTCTTACAAAAACGCATCAATTCGCTACAGAAGGCCTTTGTTCACTCCCCGGAGCCGCGTGAGACACTTTTTTTTTTATGGATGAGCGCTTTTTATTTAACTTCTTTTGGACGGATGCATGCAACACCCGCTGAGTGCCATGAAACAGTTTGAAAGATCAAAGACAATTTTTAATAGAACTCCGACTGGATTCGTCTGAAAGAAGAAAGTCATATACACCTAGGATGACTTGAGGGTGAGTAATGTATGGGCTAATTTTCATTTTTGGGTGAACTAACCCTTTGAGTCTCACATTTGAGAGTTTGTTTCTCAAACTGTGACCGTTTCTAGCAAATTCAAACATCCATCTCTCCCAATTTTGATTTTAAATCTCAAAACGTTGCTTTATATATCACAATGAGACTTATCTTGTATTTCTAACTTGTTTTTTTTTTTTTTGTAGTAGCAACTTGTAACCCACAATGTGACTTTACGTAGATCTCATAATGCCAATATCAATCCTCTCTCAAGCACTTCCTCTTACATGTGCTGGTGTCACCGCACACTTCAAACAGTCCTGTGCTCCAGTCTCCTCCTGTCTGAGAGATAGTGGTCACTGTTGTCGTGGTCACGCCGAGGCCAGGTTGAGTCAGAACAGGAAGTTGCATCTCCTCACTACCTGTTGGGTTTGCTTCAATATCTTTTCCTCCAAGAGGGTCCATTTGGATCTGACGCCGATACAAAAAAAGCAGTTTCACAACAGAAACACAGGTGCACACTCCTATATAAAAAAAGTCCTTACCTGACCTAAAAGTTTTGACAGTACTGTGACATTAAACAAATTAAATGCATACTAATGAGGTGAACACTTACATGGTGAATGTCAAAGTGGCTCAGAACAATCCCTCACAATGACAACAGACTAAGGGAAAAGACAGGGGTGAGTTTCCTGTGGTGACAGTGGTGTGTTCTTTCTGATAGCCGCTTGGCCAAGAAGCCCTGACAGAAAGCTGCTGTGAGCTGATAAGCCTTCATACTCACACACAACACACAGGAGAGTCCCACACAAATAAAAACACCTCTCAAGTGCATTCAAATACTAACTCTCCCAAGTCACAAACAGAAATGTATTCTCAATTCCTCTCAAATACCATCATGCATTTTTGGGACTGCAGGCCTACTTGCATGTATCCCACTGGTTCACACAATTCACACACTCACAAGAAATATTAAACAAAAGCTCGCAAATGACACCTCAAATATGCAACAAGAGCTTACCAGCGATCCAGGCTTTGTGTGATGTTACAGTGCAGAATTGCACGTTCTCTTGAGGTTAATGTCTCGCATCACTTCCTTCTGCACTGAAGCTAACGCACATCAAACTGGTCAAGGTAGACAGATGGAAGATTAGCGGGCTGACACTCACCCTCCCGCTCGCTGTCCGTCACTAGGTAGGCCGGCCTTGGGCTGAGTGGTCCCCGACGGGTTCGCCGTGGCCCGTTCCGGGCGGTACGACCTGGCATCCTGGGTCCGAGGAGGAGCTTCTGGAACCCCGGCCAGTCCCGTCCCAGGAGCAGAGGTACGGGGAGATCCTGCACAATGCCCACCTCGATGGCCCAGGTCCCGGGCTCCGCTGAAATCCGCACTGTACGGGCCGGCACATAGCGGGTTTCTCCGTGCACATACGTCAGTGGCAACTTGGATTTCTGCTCAGGCCTTGGTCGTACCAGGGTAGGTTGCACGAGGGTGACTGAACTGCCGGAATCCAAGAAGGCCTGTACTGGTTTCCCCTCTTTTTTTTTTTGGAAACTGGGATACATTTCCTTTGGGATTTTTTATTTATGTATTTATTTATTTTGATTCATACAAATTTCAAAAGAATGCCATTTATTTGAAATGAAGATATTTTGTTACATTGTTCATGATTTGCTGTTACTTTTGGTGAAATGTATGCTTCCCTGCTGAATAAAAGTATTAATTTCTTAAAAAAAAAGGATATTTTTGTTGTAATGACACACAGAAAGTAATGATTTGTATATATTGAGCATGATGGGGCCAACAGAACTGTAAATGTCCTCAAAAAGTGTTTGATGACGTCATTACCACAAATTTTGTCAAAAAGACCAAACAATTATTTTTAAAGGAAGAAATGTCAGAGCACAGCAGCGTTGAATAGCAAGTGCAGGGACAAACAAAAATTCTATATTTTATCCGAAAGTGAAGAAAATAGAAAAAAAAAGCTTTTTATGTGTTTTTGCATATATTCTTTTTATATATATATATATATATATATATATATATATATCAAATACAGTGACTAATTTCAGTATGTGCCATTTTTCTTATTAATTATATCAGTAGCAAGTCATGAGGATGAAAATTCCACCAATTCTCAAGAATGATCCAGACATGAAGTGGCATATGTATTAAGAAAGAAAGAAAGAAAGAAAGAAAGAAAGAAAGAAAGAAAAAGAAAACAAAAGAAAGAAAGAAAAAGAAAACAAATGTACATTTTATTTGCATCAATTTATTAAATGTTCACTGGATACATATAATATTAAAGGGGGAAATAAGGAAGAAAACAAAGCTTCCTTTTAAGGTTTTACAGTGAAAAGATATCCAGGCAGTTAGTTCACAATCTATTGGCCTGACGTCCTCAACTGGACTACTGTAGCTGGCATATGCAAACTATTTAAACCAGAGGACGGATTTAAAACATTTCAAATGAAAACCAATAGACAGGTATAAAACATTATGAAAGTACAATACCTTCAAATGTCATATGTAGGGTCCACAAAGTATGGCATGAATATTTCCAGTGCCATTAGCCTGAATGTGTAGAAATTGAGTGTACAGTTCTCTTGGGTCTTTTACTACTTAAAAAGCTAGAAAATGGGTATAAATACATTACTGATGTTATACAGACACTTTCAGGCCCTTAAACAAAACAGGTACCAAATGCTGAGAAAGGAGTTTACTAGATGCACTGAGACTGAATGCCAGCTAATGCTAAACTAACTAGCGCCTCAGCAGTTAATATAAACAATACTGTTTGCAGATTATGTCAAGATGATACTCAAATGAGAAAACAAAACACCCTTGTAACAACAGAGTCTCTGATATCACTGGACCAGGTAGATTAAAGTGTCCCCAATGTCCATTTTCAGGCCGTTATCACTCATGTGAACTTTGTTTTCTTCCAGGTTGATGTGGAAAACTGAACTGTTTGAGATGGGGAGCTTACCCTCCTCTTCCTTCCCCAGAACTGGGATTCTCCGAGGCCCGAGCAGTGGGTCCTCAAAACGCATCAGCTGCACTTTGGATAAATCTACAAATTTTACAACATCGTTATTTAAAAATGACAACATTAACAGTAACGTAGCATGCTGTGGCATCAAAGTATTTAGATACTTAGGTAGGTTATACTTTAAAAAAAAATTTTTAGCTTAGTGCCTTGAATTAAATATCTTTATATATATATACAGTGGGTATGGAAAGTATTCAGACCCCCTTAAATTTTTCACTCTGTTATATTCCAGCCATTTGCTAAAATCATTTAAGTTATTTTTTTTTCCTCATTAATGTACACACAGCACCCCATATTGACAGAAAAACACAGAATCGTTGACATTTTTGCAGATTTATTAAAAAAGAAAAACTGAAATATCACATGGTCCTAAGTATTCAGACCCTTTGCTCAGTATTTAGTAGAAGCACCCTTTTGAAATACTTTCCGTACCCACTGTATATATATATATACTGTATATCTAGTTTAGTGAAAACCTTGTAACAATTTAAACTTGGCTACATTGAAATCAGCTTTACCCTTGATGCCTCTGTTGGCCCGGGATAGTCTGCGGATGATGCTGTCTTTGCTGTCTCCCCGTCGGATGTCAATCTTGGTGGAGAACAGACCGTTGGCTGGCTGAGGGTTCACCAGTGAGACTAACAATCCAGGCTACGGGAGAAACAGAGGTCACAGCCGAAGATGACACATTTATGGATGCTACATCATACAGATCATGTGACATGGTTTAAATGACATTTTCTGCCTCATACACAGGATTCCAAAAACCATTTGACCAATATATTTTCAGTGGTCCATGATTAGATATTATATTATATGTGTGTGTGTGTGTAATATAATTTTACTGCAATCAATTTATTAAATGTTCATATATATATATATATATATATATATATATATATACATAATTCATGAAATTTAACGATGTTTTGTCACAACAATTGTGTTAAATGATATTTCACTATTGTGTGACATAATATGTATATAGTAATATTATTGTGAATGATGTAGGATAAAAGAAGATTGCAACTGTTGCTCTTTCTCTTTTCCTTTGCTACCTCTTTTGCTTTGCTCTTTCCTTTGCGACCTCTTTTTCTTGGCTCTCTCTTTCCTTTGCTGCCTCTCTCTTCTTGGGGCTCTGCCCCTCTCTCTCTCTCTCTCTCTCTCTCTCAGGTAATATTTTACATAACTAAATCTTAACACTCTTGAGCTGCTGTGCGAGATTCTGTAGAGACGAGCTGAGCAACACTCCCCATTAAAGACCAGGGAATTTAAGGAGGTCGTCCTCCAGGAGTTAAACAGCACAGATGTGAAAATGTGTCATGAACTTGTACACTCAGTGCCAAGAAGTGTCAGAGCAGTATACTTTAAGTTCTGGAGGACATACTAAGTACT